CAAAGTGATGGAGACCCCCCCCCCCCCCCCCCCGCGCCTTCCACATTGCCGCGCCCATGTGTGCAGATTGGCACCTACACTCTGTTCCAGGAGACCTACCACCGCCCCACTTTCAAGCACATGCACATCGCGGGGCCCAAGTCGGGTGGGTAGGCAGGCCATGCACCACTGCTGGGTGCCCAGCAGCAGGAGCAAGCAGGGACACCCGGCTGCAGCCTTGGCAGCCAGCCAGCTCGCTGGCGGCCGTCGATGGCCTGGATGCCTGCCCACCTCCCGCCGCCTCATCCCACCTCGCCTGCTCCAACCCCGCACCCCCACCCTGGCCCTCCCCTCCACCCGCTGCAGACTACGACAACCGTGTGATGACTCACGACCGCGCCATGCGTGCGGGGCTGGACGATGTGGGCCTGGGCACGCTGTTTGGGCTGTACGACTACAAGTATGAGGTGAGGGTGGGGATGGGTAGAGGCACGAGGGCAGGGCAGGCGGCTGGGGCAGGTAGCTTGCCTGGCTGGCTGAGGCTTCCTTGGTGCCTGGGCACCTGGGGGGCCGGATTCCTGTGTTTGGCGTACATGATCTTGCTGTGGGAGCACCGGAGGCGTAGTGAAGGGAGAAGCAGTGGCAGCGTTCAGCGCTGCTGGCGCGGCCGGTGCCCTGAGCGGTGCACCGTGCACCACCACCACACCCCGGGCGCAGGTCCTGGCCACGCTGATGCATGCCAACCACCTGGAGCGCGAGTACGGGGCGGGGCCGCACACCATCTCGGTGCCGCGCATGCGCCCGGCAGACGGCTCAGACGTGAGAGACACCCGTGCATGCAGCCGATGCCAGCCAAAGATGTGGGGCTGCTGGATGCATGGCTGCAACGCACGTGACAAACAGCCCAGCCCCGTGCCGTCTCTTGGTGCCTATCTGCGTGCTTGCGATGCGTGCCCGCAGGTGTCGCTGGCGCCCCCCTATGCCGTGGACGACGCCAACTTCAAGAAGCTGGTGGCCATCCTGCGCATCGCGGTGCCGTACACAGGCATGATCCTCAGGTGCGGCAGGCGGCGGAGGCAGGGGTGGCGGGCGTGCCAGCTCGCCAGGGGCAGCAGGACCAGCTGCAGCTGCCGCATACCGGTCTGGCAGCCTCTGGCACATGCCGGTGCACTGAAGGGCAGCAACTATAAGCTGCGCTTGCTTTTGTTTCTTGCACCTAACGCGCTAACCTGTCCCCCTCCCCCCCCTCCTGCCCCTCCACAGCACTCGTGAGTCGCCCGAGATGCGCACCGAGCTGCTGCGGGTGGGCATGAGCCAGATGAGCGCCGGCTCCAAGACGGATGTGGGCGCCTACCACAGGTGCGCGGCGGGGGTGGGTGGGGGCCGCGCGCGCCCGTATGTGCAGGGATGGTGCTCCCCCGCTGCGGCATCCTGCTCCAGCTCGGAGCAGCTGAGCTGCTCGCCCTGCTGTTGTGAGCCCTCCACTCCCCCTGTCGCCCTGCTTTTCCCACACCCAGCCAGCCAGCTAGCCACACACACACCACCTCACCTGGCCCGCTCTCTGTGCAGGGACGACAGCAAGGCCACAGAGGACAACCTGGCCGACCTCAACGGACAGTTCACGCTGGCAGACCACCGCCCAGGTGCGCGCCAGCTCTGCTGCGCCAGTGGGCAGAGCTGGTGTGCCCGGAAGACAGCCCATGTGTGTGTGTGCCCATGGGCAGGCGCTGCTCCCAGTTGCTCGGCATGGCACGGCCATGCCGCTTTGCGCTGGTGCCCGTTATTAACCCCTGGCGGCGCCCCTGCCCCTGCCCCCGCTCTGCGCCTGTGTGGCGGTGGTATGGTGCAGTGCAGGACATTGTGGTGGACCTGATGAAGGAAGGGTACGTGCCATCCTGGTGCACAGCCTGCTACCGCAAGGGACGCACCGGGGAGCACTTCATGAAGATTGCCAAGGCTGGGTGTGTCCCCCGCGCCGCTGCCAGCGTTGGTACTGTTGCCTGGGGGTGGTTTGAGGGAGCACGGCCACCAAGAGCTAGTAGTTAATGCACCACCCTTGCTGCCTGCAGGAACATCCACAACTTCTGCCACCCCAACTCACTGTTCACGCTCCAGGAGTACCTGGTGGGTCTGGCGGCCTGCTGGGAAGGGCTGGCCGCGCTGAGGCAGGATCCACGCCTGCTTTGCACCCGCCGGCATGCATGGTCTGCAGGCCACCCGGATGTGCATTGCTTGTGCTGATGTTTTGGGAGCGGGTTGCTGCTCGCAGAATGACTATGGCAGCGAGGAGGCAAAGCAGATTGGGCAGGACCTGATTGAGCGGGAGCGTGTGGTTGGGCTGAGCGACAGCGCGCAGGTGGGTGGGCCGGAGGCAGCAGGGTGCGGCCCTGCCTCTCACATGGGCGGTGTGGTGGCGGCAGGCTGGGTTCGAGCCAGTGTTTCCTGCTTGATCCTGCCCTGGTTGGCCCCGCCCTGTGTGCTGTACAGAACCTGACCAAGCGCAAGCTGGCCAAGGTCAACGCGGGGGAGCACGACGTGTACATCTGAGCCCATGCCTAGTGGGCTTCCGCTGGCGCTGGCACACCCTTTCTTCCATTGCCCCTTCTCCGCCCCACAGCCAAACCATAACTTGCTCTATTCTTTTGCTCTTCCTCCCTCCGTCGTATTCCCAGTCAGGTGTTTCGGGCTGAACTGCTGCCGCCAAGGGTCGCTGAACCGCCCGCCTCGCCTCGATATTGGTGCCTGGCACTTGGGCACGCAACAACTCAGGTTTATCGGCAACGCGATTCCATTGAACGAACAGTTTGATGTGGGCCTGTACAAAATGCCCGCGTTTGCCAACAGTCTACGTATGTGTAATCTTGCCATGCGCTGCGCTTGAGCGCTGCGCTGGAGTACGGGCAAAGGTTCAGGTTGCATGCGACAATACGCACGCCCTCAGGGCCGGCCTTCAGCTGCTGGGGCGGCGCCGTCACTGGCCGCCGCCTCCGCCACGCACATGCCGTAGCTGCTCCTGGGCGCAGTCCCGTTGCCCCCTTGCAGAGTCAGGAAGGCCTCGTAGGTCTTGGACAGCTGAGCCCCCTCGCACACCACATCGCCCACGCACGTGAAGTCGCCCCCCAGGTCCGAGGGTGGCGGGCAGCAGGGCCCTCCTATGGCGCCGCAGCCCTGTAGCAAGGAGGCAGCAGCGGTTTGCTTGGCACAGAGTGAGTTCACAGCAGGGTGCGGCTGTCGACCATATGGACTTGCCTGAGGAACAGGGAGGCAGAGGGAGGGCTGCGGGCACGCGCCAGGAATGCCGGGCGGAGCAAACTCGTAGAAATGGCACCACAGGTTGGGGTCCGAGCAACAACCAAAGTAGCGAGGTGGTCCTGTGCAAAAAAGAGCAAGAGAGCAAGTATGTTACGAAAATACAATGATAAAGTCCGACAGAAGGGCTGCCAGCGGCCGGTCGGGCAGGGCGGGTCTCGCCTTCCACAGGCTGGCAGCAGCAGGGCGAGCCCGCGCCGCTGCCACACCCATCAGAGAAAAGCCGTCTGTCCCTGCCACCGTGATGGACCGAGCACACGTCCAGCAGCTCTCGAGCCTGACCGAAGCCAAGTGAAAGCAGCAACAGCAACACAGCCCCCGAAATGAGGATAGGTCGTGCCATGGTGATGTGCACACAGCACCTGTTTGAATCAACAAGGGTGAGTGGAAAAAGAAACACACCTTCGGCCGGGGCAGTACACATGTACTGGTGGCGCAGCGCAGGCGCTTAAACCTTGGGCTTATTGCACCTGGGCTGTGTGGTTTATTTTGCAAAAAACAAAAGAGACTGAAGCAAAAGGCAACCTGAACGAACAATGCATCTGAACAACTGAAATCAGCCACGGTAGCGCCTGCGCCACCCGCCCTGCCTGCCTCAGCTCTTCTGCCCAAACCGCTCCGCGCGGTCGTGCGGCTTCTCCCACCACGGGTCGCTCTCGCTGCCCACCGGCATTATTGCATAGTAATTAAGCTTGGGGTGCGAGGAGAAGTAGTGGACCTTGATGTGCCTGATGTTCACCGACTTGGACACGCCTGCAGGGAAGAGAACAGAGACTTGAAGAGAAGTCTTTCCCTGGAGAAGATATAATGCGAGCAGTGGAACCCCCACACAAGCAGCCGCCTACGCCGGGTTGGATGCGCCATGCTCACCCGGCGTCTGGAAGATGTCGCGGGTGTAGTTGGACAGGTTGGGGCACTCGCGGATGAATTTGCCATTTGTTTTGAAGTAGACCACGTAAACAGGGTCAAACCTGCAGCCACGCATTGGCGGCAGGCCAGGGATGAACGCACGGTGGCAGTCGCAATCTACGCCCTCCCCAGATGCATCGCAGCCTTGGGGAGTCGCTGCAGATAGCGCAGCCACCCTCCACAGCCGGCGCCGGGCCGGGCCCCACCGGATGAGGGTGTGGAACAGGCGGATGTCTGCCTCCGTGATGCGGTCCCCCGCTATGTAGCGCTGCCGCGACAGGATGTCCTCGCAGCGGTCCAGCGCCGCAAACAGCTCGCCAAAGGCTGCACCACAGCATCGTCAGCATGTGAGGATGATGAGCCAGCTGGAGTCAGGAGGGGCACAGGTCAAGTGACAGCCATGGGTGGCGGTGGCCATGCCCGGGTCACCTCGCTGCCCACCCACCTGTCTCATACGCCTCCTGTGAGGTGGCAAACCCGCAGCGGTACACGCCATTGTTTATCGCAGGGTAAATCCAGCTGTTGGCCTGCGGGAACGCACACGCGCAGCATGTCAGGAGCCAGGCCACAGGCCAGCAACAGCGCAAAACCAGGGGCAGCAGCAGCAGGGTGCTGGGAGCAGCCGTGGCCGCCTACACCTGCCCCAGGCGGCCAGGCAGCCAGCACCCCACCTCGTCGATTGCCGCCGCCAGGTCTGCTGGGTACAGGTCCAGCTGCGGGTTGCCGGCCAGGTCGTTGAACTCGCCTGCGCCCAGTTGCAGCACAAACACCTGGGTACAGCTTCACCACATGCACTGCTGCCATGCACTCCCTTGCTGATGCGGGGGCCAGGGGATGCCACCACCAGCGCTCACTGTTGAGCATGCGGATGATTTCCGAGGATTCATTGTTGGCGATGCAGCCCTTCTTCTTGTCCCACAGCACCGGCACCGAGTATTTGCCTGCGTGGAGGGAGGCGGCACGGGAGCAGGGGCACGAGGCCTTACGTCATGCCGTGCGCCTTGATGCACCTGCCCCCGCCCCCGCCAGCTGACCAGGAACACGCACCAGAGGTGTCGCTGCTCTTCTCGTATAGATCGCGCACAAACTGGGCGCCGTTGATGGGGTCAGGGATGCAGCCCTCGCACGTGAATGAGCCGTGGCCGGTGGAGCTGGAGAGTGGCGGGCCGTCTGGGCTGGCAAAGGCCCACCCGCAGTGCTCATCCTGGTCGGGGCGGGTGCGCTGCCAGGTGGGGTGCGTGACCGACAGCCCAATCACATCCTCCAGGCCCTGCAAGGCGCAGGGAGAGGTCAAGGAGGCCGGGGTGCAGGACCACGGCCCCACATGCAGCCCTGGCTTCCAGCACCACATGCGGCGGGCGGGCCTACCTTCATGTGCAGCAGCGCCACGCAGCGTGATGCCCAGGGGCAGGCCAGGGACACGTACAGGTGGTAGCGGCCGGCTGCACAGGTGGGGCGGGGCAAGTCAGTTGAGGAGTCATTGCCACCGGTGATGACATAAGCCAGCGGACAGGCATCAGATCAGACCTTCAGGCTCGAATTCGCCACCCTTCTTGATCCACGAGCGGAAGGCGGAATCCTTGCGACGAAACTCGCCGCCCTTCCCCATCTCGTCCAATGCCGTCCTGGCAGCAGCTGGCGGCGGTGGCTGGCGGCGGCTGGCGGCGGTGGCCATGTCGCTGCGTTGTGAATGGGATGCTGTGGCGCGTTGCTGCAGTAGCGGCAGGGAACGCAGCGTCAGCTTGGGGGGCACCACGCTTAGGGCATAGACTGCTCCACGCATGCAGACGTCCTGTAGCAGTTTTGATCACGAAATTGAACGGATTGGCGGCGATTGGGGTCCTACACAGCGGATGATGCAATTCGCCGGGGAGGTGACTGAGTACAGCAGGTGTACCTCCCGAGTTGGCGCTTGGCCCCAATCCGCAGCCTTGAGGAGTGCCACGAGGTTCCTGGTGTTTGCTTCCGGTCTCCGGGTGCCCCAGTGTACCTGCCTCTCAAGCTTGCGTTCAACCCGCTTTCGACAAAGCCGCTCGACCCGTGCACCCCGGTCTGCGGGCCGCCCAGGCTGCTACAGGAATACTAAACGGCTCTCGCACTACCATTAGCCGTGGCAGCTTACCCCAAGACTGACGAAATGAACGAAGGGCCGCGTGGCTCGCTGGAGCTGCCAGACCTACTCGGTAGCATGATGGAACCCGACGAGTTCGTGCCGGCAAGTGCAGCAAGCACGGCATCAGCTCTGTGCTCAGGAGTGCCCGCACTGGGGCCCAGCGCCTGCGCTCTCTGCTGCCCTCCGGGTGCAGCCTCCTCAATTCTGCGCCGCTTCAGCCTGGCCCTGGCCCCGCCGGGCCGCCTCCTGACCTGGCTTGCTATGTGCCTCGTTTTGGGGCGGCGGTGGGCAGGCCGTGCCCTGCCACAAACTCCTTGTTCTGCTGCCTGTGCTGGGGCGGTGCAGGTAGACAATTTTTTCCAGAGCTACATCGAGGAGCTAAACTCCCGCAGCAAGCGCGCACATGAGCCAGGCAAGCGGGGCGCATGGGCCGTGCCCAAGCCTCCTTGGGGTCAAAAGGGCCACTTGCCACCTGCCCGCGACTTGTTTGCTGCCCTGCTGATGTGATTTGCTGCTCGCTGCCCGCTGGTGCTGAACTGCAGGCGCTGAGGATGTGAGCAAGGCGATGAAGGTGAACGCGGGACAGACGGCGGGGATGCATGGGGCGATGATGCCGCCGCAGGCGGGATCCATGGGCGGCATGCAGCTGGCCTACATGCAAGCCGCGCAGCAGATGGGGCAGCCAGGCATGATGCTGCCTGCCATGCCAGCGGGCGGCGCGCTGCCTCAGATGGTGATGGCGCCGCAGCAGCAGGCGGGGTTGCCCGTGGCGGCGGCCGGGGCGCTGCCCATGGGCATGCTGGGCGGCGGCGGCGGCCTGCCAGACCCCTACGCCCCAGTGCCTCCAGCCACCAGCCCCACGCCCTTTGGCGCACCGGGCGGCGGCCCCATGATGGGCCTGGACCTGCAGCTCAACGGCGGCGGCTACGGCGGCGGCGGCGGCGCGCCCCCTGCCGCGCAGCTGTCTGGCGACGACAGCCAGGGCGGCGGCAGCCAGGGCGGCGACAGCAAGCACCGCAAGACGGCCAAGCAGCAGGAGGCCAACAAGATAGCGCAGCAGCGGTACCGGGAGCGCAAGAAGCAGAAGTTTGTCGAGATGGAGGCGCAGATCTCGGTGCTGTCCAAGCAGCTGGCGGCGCTGCAGGCCCTGCAGAGCCGTAACCAGATCCTGGAGGGGCTGAACGGCGAGCTGCAGACCCAGCTGATGAGCAAGGAGAAGGAGGTCGAGCGGCTGAAGCTGGCGCTGGATGTGTCGGCGGAGCGCAGCCTCAGCGGGCACAGCCACCCCTCCAGCCCCTCGGCAGACGGAGACCACGGCACCACCACCGCGCTGCGCGAGCACGGCGACGAGGCCAGCCACCCCACCACCAACGCATGCGACCTGCTGCCCCAAGACATGGCGGGTGGGTGGGCAGGGTGGGGGCACGGGCCTCCGCGCCGCTCATTGGCCTGCAGTGGCATCCTCTTAGCTCCCAGGCGCGCGCGCACTCAACTCACTGGCCGCGCATGGCCCTGCCCCCCCCACCCCCCCCCACCCCCCGCCAAGCAGGCATCGACTTCAAAAAGGGCTTTGCCGACCAGGTGGTGCGCCTGCGCGAGTTTGTGGAGCTGCACGGCGTGACGCAGGGCGCGGTGGCAGACCACGGGCTGACCCCGCAGCAGATGCAGGAGCTGGGCATGATTGTGGCGCGCTCCTGCCAGCTGTGCCAGGTGCGGCGCGGCGCCAGGGCCGCCCGCAACTCGGGCTGGGCCGGCGGCGGCTGGTACCTGCACTGCTGCATCACCTGCGGCTGCTGCATCCGCCCTCACGCCACGCCCCCACCCCTCCTCCCACCTCCCCTCCCCCGCAGGCTGCGCTACGTGCCGAGGGCGTGCGCGTGATTGAGCTGATCAGCAAGGACCCAAGCTCCTTCTCAACAGGTGGGGGCCCACCCCGCCCCGCCCCTGCAACGCATGCATGCAGCCGCCTGCTGCCACGGGATGTGTGTCGGCAGGATTCGGCCCCGCCTGCGGCCACTCCCCGCCGTTGTGTTGATGCCCTGCCATTGCCTGGCCTGCAGTGGACAGCGCGACAGAGGCGGCTCGCTGGGCGCAGTGCCTGCACGTCATGCACCTCGCCCCGGAGCAGCAGGAGGTGCTGCTGCTCAACCGGCGCAGCCACCTGCAGCGCA